GGGCCCAAAACTGGACACAGTACTCCAGCTGTGGCCTCACCAAGGCCGAGTACAAGGGGAGAACGATGTCCTGGGATATCCTTGAGAAGCATCTACGGATGCAAGCCAGCGTTTTGGTCGCTTTACTAGCCGCAGCATCGCATTGAAGCCTCTAAAAGATCAGCACTCAGGCTGGGAGGCCTACATTACCCACACAAGCTGCCATTTTGTTTGCAGGCTGCAGCCAAGGTGTGAGAGCATATGCTCTCCAAATGTCTTGAAATCATGAAAACCTTAAAAGATTGAGTGTCATTCAGACACCCCAGAAGAGAAATACTGAGCAACAAAGCAGCATCTGTTTATGAAAGAAATGGTATTTTATCTTCAGGATTCAAATGAGCAACAGTCGTAGGTAGAAGGAGGTCAATTAGAGTTGCATGAGTATTTCCACACAGAAGGAACTTGTATGCTAAGAGGAAGTATGGGAGATGTACAAAGTAGGATAAGTGAGCTTTGATGAGTTGCCTTGGGAGCAAAGACAAAGGGAAGTTGTTTTGGGGAAGAGATTAGTAACTCCATCAGCTTGTATTATAGCTCTTATGAGGCATACTCTTGACAACCACATCCCAAACTGCATTTGGGATGACTGCATTTCCATATTATGTTGGGTTTGCAACATGCCTTAATCCCATTGGAATGAAAGCTGTTGTAATGCACTACAAATCTGCATGCAATGTAAAGCTGATGTAACACGTTTCATAGGCCTGTGAGAGTCGTCAGCAAGCTGATCCGGCTTTGGATCTGGCTGCTTCGGATGCCAGGGATCCAATCTGGAGCTCCAGACCGGGTTTCCGCCTCAATCCAGCTGAAGTTTCGGAGCCGCCTCAGAGATCTGGCCGTAGGGTATAATGGGGAATCAATTACATCTCTATAACTTTATTGTTTTTTTCTGATTTGATGAAACTTGCAGGAATGGTAGCCTCTGCTGAGATTATGAAACTTGCCAAGTTTCAAGAAGATAGATACAGGGGTTTGGGGGGAACTGTACCCCAAATTCTTGAAAGCCAAACTCATGTCATGGCTGTGTGTTACAACACAGGGGGGTGAAAACTGCAGGGCTGGTAGCTCTTACTGAGACCACAAAGCCTGCCAAGTTTCAAGGAGATAGGTGGGTTTCAAGGAGATAGGGGTTTGCGGGGGAACTTCCCCTCAAGCTGCAGACAAGCAAAACTGGTGCCATGGGTCACACTGCGTGTGCTAAGGCGCAGCGGGGTGACAGCTGCAGGGATGGTGGCCCCTGCTGCGATGCCTGCCAGCTGTTGAGGAGATCGGTGCAGGGGGAGTCTGGGGCCCTGCACCCCTAGCTGCTGACAGGCAAAAACTTGTGCCAAGACTGTGTCTGTCTTGGTTGAGGCAGTTGATTGTCTGGATTGATTCTTTCCTCTCCTTAGCCTGGTTTTGCAGGTGCTAATTGATTCTCGTTAAGTCGTTATGTAGTAGCCAGGTCCGGTGCATTGAGCCGGTCCCCTGGTCCCTGAGTGAACCATGATTGATTGGTAACTGGGAACACAGCAGTTTAGCAGCCAGGCCTGCAGCAGTGTCTCCCTCCCCGCCCCAAGACAGACAGTCAGTCCCACAGCACCCAAGGAACCATTTTTGCTTGTACGCAGCTTGAGGGGCAGTTCCCCCCAAACCCCTGCACCGATCTTTTTGAAACTTGGCAGACTTCATGCTCTCTGCAGAGTCTATCATCCCTGAAAATTTAATCCAAACTGGACACAAAAGAACAAAGTTATAGATGTTTTATTGTTTCCCCATTATACCCTATGGCCGGATCTCCAAGGCGACTCCAAACCGCTTCGGGAAGCCAAACGAGGCCAGCGCTTCGACCCGGATGTGCTGCTTTGGACCCCGAAGTGTCCAAAGCTTCTCTGGATCCGAAGCCTCGCACAGGCCTATCGTTTCAATCTTTTACCCCCTCAGCCCCTGAAGATGCATTTTGGTAGAAAGAATTTAACCTGTTGAAGCAACCCAATCCCTGTAGGGATCAACTCCTGCTG